AGCCAGCTGTAAAATCAGCACAAGAATCAATCACCTGCAAGAAATGCAAGTCATCCAATTTACTAGCGAACACAAACAGGGCAGATTCTGACCCCACCTCCACATTGAAGCCATGGGTGGAGGGCGAGTGCTCAGCCCTCGAGCAGGCATTTATTTACCTCGGTGTTTCCCTGCCAAGGGTGTCTAAGCAAGCTGACTTCTGGAAAATGTTGGGGGCGAATCAGAAGAGCCTTCTTTCAACATTTGCAAGGGAATCTCGAGAGTCACATGGCTCTGCTCCCAACCGATGGAGGGGTCTCCTCCATGATCCACATCTAGTCTCCGAGCTTCTGCTGCAACAGCTCCCAAAACAGGAAGCTGTGCTGTAAGGTGACTCTCAGAGAGTTCTTTGAAGGGCCCTGACGTCTGCCTTCCCTTTGATGAAGTTACAGATAAAGGGTTATGCTTCACAGGAGAATCCTATTCATTTTTTTTCCTTTTATAGTTTATTGTCAAGTTGGTTTCCATATAACACTCAGTGCTCATCCCCACAAGTGCCCTCCTCCATGCCCATCACCCCCATTCCCCTCTCCCCCACTCAGGAGAATCCTATTCAAATGGGGGAGGGCGAGTGTATTTGTGGGGGGGAGAGGGGTGAGGATGTTGGGTGGAAGGGGCTGCTATTAGCCAGATGATTTTGTGATAGGCTGAAAACTGTCCCCCCCCCCATTACCTGGCCTACAGACATAATCTCTGGAACTTATAAATGTTATACTCTGTTTGGAAAAGGCCTTTATGAAAGATGAGTTTACGGATCTAGAGATCACCAGATGATCGCGGGCTCTCCAGGTGGGTCCTAAATGCCATCACAAATGGCCTTGTAAGAGAGAGGCAGAGGGAGATTTTACACAAGGGAGGAGCAGGCGATGTGGGGCTGGAAGGGATATTGGAGACATGTGGCCACAGCCTTGGAATGGCAGCGGCCACTGGGGCTGGGAGAGGAGAGGGTGCATTCCCCCCTGCAGCCTCTAGAGGGAGCAGGGCCCTACCAACACCTGTGACCTGATGCTAGACTTTCTTCTGCTTCTAGATTTGTGAGAGAATAAATACGTTGTCTTTAAATAAATTTTTTAAATGTTTATTTTTGAGAGAGAGAGAGACAGACAGACAGAGGGAGAGAGACAGAGTGCATTGGGGGCGGGGGAGGGTAGAGGACAGAATCCGAAATAGGCTCCAGGCTCTGAGCTGTCAGCATGGAGCCCGACGTGGGGCTTGATCTCGAGGACTGGGAGATCATGACCTGAGCTGAAGTCGGATGCTCAACCGACTGAGCCACCCAAGCACCCCTGAATACGTTGGCTTAAGCCACCTAGCTGTGATAATTTGCTGCAGTCGCCACAGAAAACGAACACACATTTCTTGGCACTGTTTGTTTCTTCCCCGCCTTTGCTACTTATGTGTGTCACGCAGGGACATCATCACTCAATCTGCTGGCTGAACACGCTGTCCTAACTCTTCCAATGCATTCAGATTCGTTTCCTGCCGGGCTCTTGGAGTCATTTCAGGCCACAGGCATCTTCTAGGGTTAATATAAGGATAAAATGGCTTATTAATTATAAAGCCCTAAAAATAGTGCCTGGCTCAAGGTAACTATATATACAGTGCCCGGCTCAGAAAGTGTATATAAATATTTGTCAAGTCAGAATAAATAAGTAGCGTCCTGTTTGGGGTCTTGGGGCTCTTGCTTTTGTAGTGCTTTTCCTCTGTTGACTCTTCAGGAGCTAGAGAGAGAATTTTAACTTTAGTCTTAGGTTAATAACACTTTCCCTCCGAACATGTTCCCAGTTTTATGATGCAAGGTTATGGCTAGATGTGTTAGATATCAGAAAGAGAAAACCCAAGTTTTAAGGCTCACAGCCGTCCCACTGAGAAAAGACTACAGTAAAATGCTCATGTCTTTCTACAGCTTCTTCCCTTGGACACAAAGTTAAGCATTGGACTCTTGATTTTGGCTCAGGTCATGATCTCATGGTTTATGAGATCAAGCCCTGCGTTGGGCTCTGCACTGAAGGTGAGGAGCCTGCTTGGGGTTCTCTCTCTCCTTCTATCTCTTCCCCTCCCCCACTCTCTCTCTCTCTCAAAATAAATAAACATTAAAAAACATCTATTCTTAGTCTGTTTTTTTATTTTTTAATTTTTAAGATTTTAAGCCTTTATTTATTTTGAGAGAGAGACAGAGCGTGAGCAGGGGAGGGAGACAGAATCTGAAGCAGGCTCCTGGCTCTGAGCTGTCAGCACAGAGCCTGATGCAGGACTGGAACCCATGAGCGAGATCATGATCTGAGCCAAAGTTGACTGCTCAACTGACTGAGCCACCACCCAGGCGCCCCATTAGTCTATTTTTTTAAAAACTCTCTTGGTCTCGATTCCTAACTGTATTTGAAGAACAGTAAATTACCCTTTTCTCAACAAGGGAAGATGGGTTGACCCAGGGAGGCACCATCAGAGCGGGATGGAGACCAGCACAGCCCCCGGGGCCCTAGTTATGCTAGCAGAGGCCAAGGTTTTAGTCTCAATTCTGTCGCTATCTGCTTGTGACCTTGAGCAAATCCCTTTACTAGTCTAAGCTTCCATTTCTTCATAGAAGACTGTGGTTTAAAAAATATCTATAATTTTTCTGATTGATGTCTCTTTGTCTTGTAAATATCCTTTTAAAAAATGCCTTCTGTGGCTCTTGTATACAGTGATGTTTTTGTCCCAACTTAGGTCAAAGGGCTTCATTCACTTTGCCAGAAGTTTTTCGACAAGACCACCATCTACTTTCCATGTGCCTAATTAGTCCATACTATGCTCTCATAAATTGGGCGCTTTTCCTCTGGTTCTGGGTGGTGTTGAAAAGTCCAGGGCCAGCGCTGGGCTATGTCAGAGTAGCCACTGTGTGACCATAACCCATCAGACTGTGCATAGGAAGCATGTTTTCTTCAATGGCTTGAGTTCATATGCTTTTCAATGAAAGTGGGGCCATCTGAACGTGACTTGGTTTTTATAGGTTCCAGTGGATTTTCATATAAATACCTTTGGATGTTGTGAGGCCACATCTCGATTTTGCAGGGAAGGGGTGGCTTGGAAATCATAGACGCCTTTCTAAAGCACCAAGTACCACCGCTACCTTGTGACTTCCCGATGTAACTACCTGAGCAATTCTGCCGTCTCTGGAATCATTATTTAAACAAACATAAAAAGAAGTCTGGGAAAAAATGGAGGTGGTGGATATATGGCTTTTCACTGCAGAATCCTTGTAACTTTTTTGTATCTTGGAAATGTTTCATTAAAAAATGTTGAAAAATATGTAGGGCTGCTGACAGTTGAGAAAGATGAACTCTGGGGGGGTGGGGTCCCCAGGTGGGGGAGAACTAATCACTAGTTCAAGTGCATCTACTGGGCACAGCGGGCAACCTCTCTGCCCTGTTCCTGGAGTCTTGCCCTTTCTTGGCTCAGCCCAAGGAGGGATGTAATAACCAATACGTTGAATGGACTGTAGTTCAAGGTTGGATCAGATGGGTCTCCTCTGAGTCTTCTACTACCTCGCACAGCCTTTAGCTGACTCCTGCTCACCGACCCCAAGGACAGCATTAAAAAAATTTTTTTTAAGTTTATTTATTTTGAGAGAGAGAGAGCAAGCAGGGTAGGGACAGAGAGAGAGAGGGGAGAGAGAATTCCAAGCAGGCTCCGCACTGTCAGCACAACGCCCAATGCAGGGCTCGAACTCACAAACCGTGAGATCGTGACCTGGGCCGAAATTAAAAGTCAGATGCTCAACCAGTCGGCTGAGGCACCCCTAAGGAAAGGTGTTTCTAATACTTGTTTAAAAAAACAAGTTTAATAAATACCTTTACGGTGCTCAAGAAAGACAGGATGTATCAAGTATGGATTAAAAGATGTGACCTGTTCAGCTTTACTTGCCAGCTAAGTCAAAGCTTCAAAAAGCTGTGATCATATTACATTGTCTTTTTTCTAATACTTATTGACTTTTTCCTTTGGTTGTACACCTTTAAACCATGTTTTCCTCCCTCTTAACATTTACAGGCTCCATCCTATGGCTATTATGTGATGTCATTCCAATTGGTTTTGTTTTTTACTTTGGATTCTTCTTTTTAACGTTCTGTGCTGGTTTCATCATCCTCGGGATAAATTTCAGTTTGAAAGGTCTTCCGTTATCTGAACTTATATGGCTTCCTAGGCTCATTTTTAAAACTCCCAGTTGTATGGGCTATTCAGTTCCCTGCACGGGTCACAGTCTCTGCCCTCCAGGACTTGGCACGCGTGCTCATTCTCCCTCCAGGGATACTGGAAAGCTCCTTTCCTTTCCCCTCCTCTCAGAGGACCTTCTCCACTTCTAAGACCGGAACAGGTGTCCCTACTCTGCATTTCCCTAGATGCCCTTTACAGCACTTACCACGCTCCACTGCAATTACCTTCTCATGTTTCCAAATCCGTCACCACTTCTGCCAACCTTAAGAGGGCTACTCACTGCTTCGTCCATACTGTCTGACACACAGTCGGTGCTCCGTAATGAGTAAGTGAATGAATAAAATAAATGAAACAGGGAGAGAGAAGAGGGGGTGCTAGTTTACCTTTATATAAGGTAAGGTTATCTTGCTTTTATCTGTTACCAGTATTATTGAGATAGAACCCACCCCTATAAAGTATACGACTCAGTGGTTTTAGTTATTTGTTTTTGGATCAGCCATTAAAATATTTTTCTTAATGTTTATTTTTATTTTGAGAGAGAGGGAGAGAGAGAGAAGGGGAGGGGCAGAGAGAATCCCAAGCCGGGTCTACACTGTCAGCGCAGAGCCCAACACGGGGCTCAAGATCACAAACAGTTAGATCATGACCTGAGCTGAAATCAAGAGTCTGACGTGTGACCCACTGAGCCACCTGGTGCTCTGGATCAGCCATTTTTAGGAGTAACTTACTTACAGGGGAAAATACTGAATTCATGAAAAATTTACAAAATCTCAGTGTATTTCAACTTTATTATGAGAAAAATGTTTCTGTTGTTGTCAGAACACAATACTACTTTAAATACATTATTTAGAGCCTATAACTTACCATTTAAATCAAAAAGATATAAACACGTCAAAGGAATGAAACATACATCTTTATTACGTGTGGATCATGGATTCGTGGTCCCCTCCACTCCCCGACGTGGTCTATAATGCATGCCATTCCCCTCATGGTGTCCCTCGTTCCCCAGGCAGCACCCTGTGCTCTCTGCTTGCCTGTGTCTGTATCTGTATGTGTTTCGGTTGTTTCTTACGGAGGGGGTTGTGGTAGAGTTTTGGGGGTTTTCGATGCTATAACCTTTGCTTTCTTTTTTGGGAAGTGTATCCAAATCTTTGCTTCATTTTGCTCAACAGAAACGAGGAGTTCGGTTTCTATCCTAGGTCTTCTCTTTGTCGGCAGTCGGCTGTACCACAGATAATAGACGACACGACTGTGGAAAATAAAAGGAGTATTCAGAGTGGCACATTCTGCTGCAAATCACCACAAATCCCCGGGGTAGGCCCTGGACTGCAGGAACCATGCTCTCTCCTCCGTACAACCACTCGGGCTCTCCTGGAACCATGCTTTGCCCCAGGTTGGGGGAGTTGTGTGTTTATACACGTGGAACCTGAATGGAAGGCACGCACAGTATAAAACATGAGGGAACGTAAAAGGAGAACAGTGGTTTTCAAACAGTTGTGAGAGGCAGGGGACCTCGTTTTCTGACCGGGAGTCACAATGGATCGCTCGACAAGTGGGTGTGCTGGAGGAAGTAGGACCAGGACAGTCTCAGGGGACCCTGGACACGACACTGTGGGGCTGAGCTGGGTCCTAGGAGGTCAACGGTGGTGAGCACACAGACTCGGGGTGCTGGAAAGTCTTCGTCCCACAGTGAGGCCAGGATGACCGACTATATCAGGTTAGGCAGAGGGGAGGCTGCGCCAGGCCCTGGGCAGAGTGGAAGACGTCTGCGGAGATGAGGCGGCTGCAGTGGGGAAGGTGGGTAGGGACGTGCCCGCGGGGAAGGAGTTAGGACGGGAATACTGAGGACCACACTTCCACGAGGAGAAAACAAAAAGTCATTCTTCAGGAAGAGACAAGAAACTCCTGGGTTGGCAGTAAGAAATGGTGACAAATTCGGAGGGACGCCACAACCGTGCTCCGTCTGTGACACTTTATGTGGCCCTGGTCTGGGCTGAGGGCCTGTGAGGAAGCTGTTGTAAACTCTCAGGCAGGAGACCAGAGCTGCCCCAGGGTCTGAGGGAAAAGGGACATTTGCAGAGAAAAGCTTCAGGGAAGGATTCCGTTGGGTGGGTAGAGGGGGGTGAGATGGAGTTCAGCTTCAGAGGTAAAGGCAGGGCCGTGCTGGCACCGCCTGGGAAGCGGTGGATGGGCATTGAGACCGGGCAGAGGGTGGGCTGGAGGTGCTGGGTCTGGGGGGCCTACGTCCTGGTAGCTGAGTGTGTGAACAGCAAAAGAGAAGAGGGAGGCTGAGGCCCGAGCCCGGGGACAGTCTGGGAAGTCAGCGGACAAAAGACTGACGGACCAGGCAGCCGTCTCAGAAGGCGGGGCTCAGGATAAGCTTCCAGAGCACAGCTGAGGGAGGAGTCTGACAAACACCTGGCAGCCGGCTGCCCTCTGAGTTTCAGTAGAGTCAGGAGACTATGGGAGAAAGTGTGTCTTACAAAGAGGAAAGCTGTGAAGTAGGCTTGACCGACTGTTCTAGAACAGAGTTGTGCGCGTATGTTTGCAGAGGGGAGGGAGCCAGTGCACGGGACAGGGCAATGAAAGAGCCGTGTCTGAAGATCTGGAAAGGAAGAGCATTAGCTGAGCATGAGGTGAGATGAGGCCCCAGGCATGAGTCTGGCCTTTTCGCCGCAGAGAAGGTTCGGAGCCGGGATGCTTTCCTGCCCCTGCACCCCCAGCCCCGGACCGGCCTCCACGTCTACTCCCAGTCCCTGCAGCTGGCGCAGGCCGCAGGGAGGGCCAGGAGCCTGACTGTGACCATGGGGAGGAGGACACTTACAGGTAGGAGACAGCCCCGAGAGGAAAAGCGCACGGGTCCAGGACCAGACGGATGGCAGGAGGGAAGAAGCCAGGCAACCAGACGAGTTCGGAGCTGAAGGAGGAACGAAGCTCCAGCAACGTGTAAGCAGCTCCTCTCAGCAAAGCGAGGGGAGACGTGGGAGGGAGCGTGGGGAGATTCACTGGATGGACCATGAAGGCAGGGGGGTGACACGGGGGTAGGGCTGAGGCCCTGTGCGCACGCAGCGCCGGCCTTGTGGGAAGACAGCTGCCAAGACTCACCCACACGGCTCTAATGAGGCATGGCTGGCGGAAGGGCCAGAAGCTGACAGTTTCAAGGGACTAATGGAGATGAACCGGCAGCTGCCTACATGCAGGTGAGTAAAAAGCGAGGTGCGGCTGGTAGGAAGTGGAGGTGGAGGGAAGGTGAAAAGGCAGCCCACGGCAGCTATGGTGGAAGGGAGGAGCAGGGGCGGCGGGGGGACGGGGAGCGGCCACGGGCCAGTGGGGCAGATTTCAGAATCAGGTCTCTGTACAAGTGACGTGGAATACAGGTGTTAGAGAGCCAGAGAACAGGGCCCCAGGAAGCAGCAAGGCACGGATGCAGATGTCCTTGAACCTGAAGTGAAGGATCCTGAGAGACGTGCACTGAAGTCCTCGGGGACGGAGGTGACCCAGAGGCAATCAGGGGCTGGGTCATGTAGGGCATTTACTTATTTTACAACGGCATTGGTCTCATTTGAGCAGGACAACCGTCTGAATGTGTGAACGCTAAGAGGCTTTTGTACCTCTTCAAAGGTCTTGAGATTTGTAGATGGTGCAATCGCTTCCCACGTCCCATTCCATCCTCTGGAAGAAGTAGACCATGGTGCTTTCCATCAGTAAGCCACTCAAGATGGCCAGAAAGGAGACCTTTCGGCTGATATTCAGGGTCACTAGAAAAAGAAAGGCAACTATTAAGTCCTTGAGAGTTTAATCAAAGCGATGTCGGCATGTAAACTATGTGGTATTATGAATGGAACTGTTTTGTGAAGCTGTTTTAAGAAAAATCTCTATTTGTTCTTATTCATTGGTGCTGTTATCTTCTCCCAGTTTTTTTAATCTACGGACCTTTGGAGAGCAACAAAGCAGGTGCTGATAACAAAACCACTACGTTTCTCCTCCTGAAATCAAGACACCGACTTCCATGAATACAAAAGGAGAAAATTCAAAATAGATTTGAGGGTTATAAAGAGATCAGCAAAAAAACAAAACCAAAAACAAGCAAACAAAAACGGAGACTCTCAATCTAACAGTTTATAAGACAATAAGCATTACGATAAAAGGTTACGATAAAAGGTAATAGGCTCATTTAAAATAACCCTTCTCACAACAGATGGGAAAAATGAAGACGCACAAGGCTGCTCATCCCTCCTCTGGTGTGGCAGGAACGGTGCCTCCTGGCATGACAAGTGCCCGGCCAGGTCACATTCGGGTTCACAAAGCAGAGGGATTAATGGTTCTCTACAAACCCCGCAGCACTGCGATAACGCACACGAGAGCAGTTTGAGAACTAAAAAATGCTGTATGGTTCAGGTGAACAAATACTGGCTATATGCTCTGAATAAGGCATCAGAGGAGTGCCAGGCACTGTTATTATCCCACGAAGGATTCCAGTGTTTTTTGTTTTTTTTAGTTGTTTAATGTTTATTTATTATTGAGACAGGGAATAACACAGCATGAGTGGGGGAGAGGCAGAGAGAGAGGGAGACACAGAATCTGAAGCAGGCTCCAGGCTCTGAGCTGTCAGCACAGAGCCCGATGCGGGGCTTGAACCCACGAACCATGAGATCATGACCTGAGCCGAAGTCGGACGCTCAACCGACTGAGCCACCCAGGCACCCCATCCAGGGTTTAACAGGTTTTGCAACAGCGTGGTGCAGAAATAAGGCCTTAAGCTCGTATGTGGGGTGGAAGCGGAGAAGACAGAATGAAACACAAACGTACCTCGAATTGCCTGAAAATTGGACGTGAGGACAAATACTTTGATGAGTCTGAGGCACAGAGGGGTGTAGTCATGCTCCCAGATGACGGCTGGAATCAGCAAGAGTTTTCCATAGCTAGACAACAGTAACGCTTTCAGCAGCAAAATGAAGTTGGGTTTCTTTTTCGCCGTCATCGGTCGTTCTAGCCACAGGAAGGTAAGGATGCCAGTAAAAAAGGCGGTTTGTTCTGAGGAGGAAGCAGAGGACGAGAATGTTAATGCCCCCCTCCGAACCACGGCTCTCTACAAACAAGCCCCAGTTCCAAAATAAACTCATCGGCTGACTTCATTAGAACTGCTTTATCAAGATCAAAGTTTCTTTTTCCTCCCTCCTGCTCCTCCTTGTTTTAAAAAAGTAAGCCCCTGCCTTTGTGTCAAATCGTGCTGGTATGATTTCAGAAACATATTTCAACAATTCTTTTCGTGGAGTATTTCCTCACCCCAAGTAAAAGCCAGTCCGTTAGAATTGTGATCATCAGCTCTCTGAAGTTCTTGCCAGGAAGTAAGGCTCTGTTTGGATGTTTTCAGTGTTCGAGACCTCCACAGAAAGAATAAAACAGGAGCGTGGGGGTTTTTAAGTCCGAGAGACGGGAACCACCCTAAGAATTACATACGAAGATGTTTTTCTTTGCTTATTCTTCCACTATTTAGTGAGTGCCTCTTATCTACAATGTTTTGAATACTGTTAGATAAATTTAAAGCTTCCTGAATTCATTTTAACAAGCTTTCTGAGTGCAGTTCCTTATCCTTCCAGAAAGTATTCAGAGTCCCGTCCAGAAGAAGCCGCAGTGCCACCAGGTCTGTTCTATCCCGTGTTCTATCCCCGTTAACTAGGATTTTAACCGTTCTTTTAACTGCAGTTATGATTTTTATTCAGACTGCTAGCTGTCTGATTACCCAGCTGCATACGTTTCCAGTGGTCTGTCCCTAATTCTATTTTTTCCCCATAAGCTATGTTATGTAGGTTTCTGCAGAATCAGGTTTTTCTAGAGCACATGTAACATCTTAGAGGAGAGACAACTGTATTCTTCCTAAAATGTTTTATAACCAAACAGAGCCAAAGTAGAGAGGTTCCAAACATAGGTGATTAGAATCAGTAAAAATAATTTTGGCTGGTTGACTACATGAAATGTGATCTATCCCTTGGTGGTGGGGCGGGAGTGGGGGACACCCTATCTTCCTGCAAAATAAAACTCAAGGGCTTGTCAACTGCAAAGATCTGCTTAAACAGGCAGATCTTACAGCCTGAGGTTTGGACCAGCAAAGTAATGAAAGCGACAAAGAACTTTCCTTAACAACAAGAACGATCTAACAATAGCGGGCTGTCTCTTGTCGCTGCAGACACTCAAACAAAGCTAGATCATTTGGGCAAAGCTGAGAGAAGGATTTCTAGCACTAGAGAGAAGGGTGGGCCAGATAACCCCCACATCTTTCTAACTCAGAAGCTGAGAGATTCAGGCACCCCCACCAGCCCTTGGGCCCCACTCCATCTTTCAGAAGGCAGGTACTATGAGGCTTTCATGGATCAGCCGGGTTCAGGACCTGCCACCGGCCTACAGCGTGCTGCATGGAGAAAATACCAGACGGGGAAGCAACAGACCATCCGTCTCAGTGCTGACACTAACCTGCAGTGGGATTTTGGGGGGAAATCTTAGGTATAGACACGGGAGAACCCAACCTATTTACCAAAGGGGATGGTTGTGAACATTCAATTGATAAAACCGTAAAAGCAGTGTTTAACTTATAAAATGCTATATTTATGTAGGACATTTTTATAAGCTATTTTAGGGGTTCAGACCCTAATAGTGGGTTAAAAAGTAACAGCAGAGAAAAATTCCTGATTGAGTGTGAAAATATCCACTATAGAACAGGAGCTACAGGAATTCTGAACTATCTGAAAATAAGCCGGGTTTATTTTTTATATTAAAAATTATGGACGTACAGGAGTTTATCCTTAGAAATTTTAAGAGGCTTTGCTTTAAAGCTTAAAATTACATGAGGTTTGAGTTCTTGGCTTAGGCAATGTTCTCAAGGATGCGTTTAATATTATTATGTACGTTTGGGACTTCTTAGCATATAAATTTTAAAGCCTCAGAAATGGATGAGAGGACCCAGGAAGTGAGAGCAAAAAGAGAAGAAATGGGGACAAATGAGGACCCACAGTCCAGGCATATGACACTGCAAGAAGGCACTGGAGACTCAATATTGCTAACATTTCACTCTAATCAAAGAGTTTTAGAAGCAGAACATGAAAGCCAGTAAGTAAGAAAGCAGTGACATAAATTAATTCAACACATTCTGACCTCAGTCACAAACTCGGATTCTGACAAAAAGCAGTTCCTTGAACTTAAGGAATTTGGGGCAGGAGTCACTTTTGCTGAATGTAGTCAGATGAAGAACGAGTCTTCCCTATTAAACAGGTTGTGTTCGTTCAATGCATTTAGCACAACACATTGGATAACGTCTGGCAATTATCAATCTGTTTTAGTAAACAAGGGACCTGGGAAATCTTTCAATTGGAGAATCAGAAATTAAAGACTTTTATCTACAATATTATGCCTCAACATATTTAATGAAACTCTAATCTGATAAACATAACCGTTTCCGTAACCTATGTGTGGTAACAAATAAAAAGCAAGCAAGCATGTAATTTAGACAAACTCGTCTAGCAGGTTAGTAGTAGAGCTGAATGTTTAAGTCTCAAGTCCTAAGTTAAGCCCCTCCTCTCACCCATGAGTAAGCCCCACCCACTTCACTTCTGATCAGAACAGTGGGTACTAGTTCGCTGAGAACAGAAAGCTCGGCTTCTTCCTACCTAGAGAAGCAATTGCGAACATTCTATAGAAATCCCACTCCTTGGCATATCTGATGAAGTCGTCAGGATCGGTGTTCTGGTTTGAATCTTGGAGCTGCCACCACCTCAGGTATGCTTCGCAAAGCAAACAAAATATGCAGAGTTTCCCATGCATCTGGGAGTGAAAAAGACAATGCCATTCACTGGGTAGAGAGACACCCAATTATACGTAATATTGAGTTGGCACAGACATGGCCAAGGACTTGTCGTTTTGAAGAACCTCCCAGCCCACAGCTTTTCAAAAGCAGACCTGCCCAGTTAGGTGTGTAATTGTGTTGCCCGTAAACCGGTAGCTCCTCATCAGCAATGACCGTCAGAATCACATGGGGAGGTTTTTCAGACTTGAAGTGTCGCGGCCCTAGTCCTGATTCAGAATCTTTGGAAGTAGATCCTACACATGCAATTTTCAAACAGTTCTGGGGGCCACGGGGGGTCCTGATGTATACGCCTAGCTAAGAAATACTGCTCTAAACAGTAGTCACCCTTCACACTATGGTGTCAGCGTCTGTCCTACACACAGAATCAAGCACAGAATTGATGTGACTCGCGGACAGGCAGAAGCAGCAATGAGAAGAGGTTTTAACCTGAAGATTCCATCACGCTACATAGCAAACTATTAGTCTGAACATAAATTTTTATTTTACTGTTTTTTAAGTTTTACTAATTTTTAAAAAATGTTCTTTATTTTTTAAAATTTATTGTTTAATTTACATCCAAGTTAGTTCGCATCTAGTGCAACAATGATTTCAGGAGTAGATTCCTTCATGCCCCTCACCCATGTAGCCCATCCCCTGTCCCACAACCCCTCCAGCCACCCTCTGTTCACCATATTTAAGAGTCTCTTATGTTTTTGACCCCTCCCTGTTTTTATATTCTTTTTGCTTCCCTTCCCTTATGTTCATCTGTTTTGTATCTTAAAGTCTTCAGATGAGTGAAATCATTTATTTGTCTAACTTCGCTTAGCATGATACCTTTTTGTTCCATCCCTGTAGTTGCAAATGGCAAGATTTCATTCTTTTTGATTGCCGAGTAATACCCCACTGTGTGTGTGTGTGTGTGTGTGTGTACCACATATACCATATATATACACACACAGACACACATATATATACACCACATTTTATCTATTCACCCATCGATGGACACTTGGCTCTTTCCATACTTGTCGATAGTGCTGCTATAAACACTGGGGTGCATGTGTCTCTTGGAAACAGCACACCTGTATCCCTTGGGTAAATACCTAGTGGTGCAATTGCCGGGTCATATAATAGTTCTATTTTTAATTTTTTGAGGAGCCTCCATACTGTTTTCCAGAGTGGCTGCACCAATTTGCATTCCCACCAGCAGCGCAAAAGAGATACTCTTTCTCTGCAACCTCACCAACATCTGTTCTGAACATAAATTTTTTAAAAAATGGCCCTATGCTGGATGAGTGTAAATTAATGTATGGAAAACACAGCAATTAAAAGATAGAAAGTTCTAAAGCTGCAAGTTCTAAAGAGTCTGAAATTATGGCAAAAATAAAAAATACCAGGTAACAAGAATTGGCTTTTTACACTGCAGTACTCCTGGGGCACCTGGGTGGCTCAGTTGGTTAAATGTCCAACTCTTGGTTTTAGTTCAGGCCATGATCTTACAGTTTGTCAGTTTGAGCCCTGCATCAGGTTTCTGTGCTGACAGTGAGGAGCCTGCTTGGGATCACTCTCCCCTGCTCTCTCTGCCCCTCATTCTCTCTCTCTCAAAATAAATAAATAAACTTTAAAAAATAAAAAACCCATTACCTCTATGGGTTGGACTTTCTCTATCAATATAAAGTGGGGAAAAGAATCTGTGTGCAAACCCGATGCAGCCCTGGGATAGGTATCAGTGTGGGCTTCTGAGGTTCTAGTTGACACAGTGGTTCTCCCAGCTGTACTTCAGAATTAGTTGGGGGTGGTGGTGGTGGTGGTGATTAAGAAATACTGATGTCTGGGGGCCTGGGTGGCTCAGTCGGTTGGGTGTCTGACTTCGGTTAGGGTCACGATTTTGCGGTTTGTGGGTTTGAGCCCCACGTTGGGCTCTGTGCTGATAGCTCAGAGCCTGGAGCCTGCTTCAGATTCTGTGTCTCCCTCTCTCTCTGCCCCCTCCCTGCTAGCACTCTGTGTGTCTGTCTCTTTCTCTCAAAAATAAATAAACATTAAAAAAAATAAGTAAATAAAATATTTCTCTTTTAATGCTTGCTTACTTCTTCTAGGTATATTTCCCTCCCTACCTGGATATATTTAATTTTATTCTGTTAGAAATAACTGATATCTGTTTCAAAGGACACCTACTAAAAGGCAATACAGATTATGGTTTGTCAGTTTCCTCCCAGTGATTGTATTCTTAAAAATTCACTAAACATTGTGTGCCTTGTTTATCAATGCCTTGCTATTTCTAGAAACTTCCAGTCGTTGCCGAGATAAAAGACCCATCCTTATTAGAATTTCTTTTTAAAATAATGTTCTTTGATTCTGTTGAAATTATTCTTTAAAAATGCAAGAGCATTATAGAGTAAAATTAGAAAATAAAAAAAATTAGCACAACTTACGTTTATTTTAGTATTGAAAAGAATATGTCTGTAGGCCTGGGCTTTGCATAAAATAGCATTAATCAAGATGATAACAGGATCATACTCGATGTATTTGTCTACAGGTTTCTGGCAGGATTTCTGAAATAATGCAAGATAATATTAGAACAAGCAAACTCATACATTCTGAAATCTTGAAGGATTTTGAGCAAGCAGAGTCTATCTTGGGCTCGTAGAGCAAGAAGGACATGTCAGCATTTATTAAAACTAACTTCTTATCAGATACAAATTGTTCACTCACATAAGCTCTGGTTTCAGAAATGACTAAATACAATCTTGTAGGCTAGAAATATTAATCTTTTAATCTCATATATAAGGAAGCAAAAAAATATTTGACTTTTTTATTTTATTTTTTATTTAATGAACTTTTTTTAATAGTTTATTTTTATAATAGTTTATTAAAAATATTTGACTTTTTAAAAAATATTTTAACTTTTTTTTTGAGAGAGAGAGAAAGAGAGACAGAGACAGAGCATGAGTGGGGGAGAGGCAGAGAGAGAGAGAGAGAGATAGAGAGAGAATCTGAAGCAGACTCCAGGCTCTGAGCTGTCAGCACAGAGCTCGACGTGGGATTCAAACTCACAAATAGCGAGATCATGACCTGAGCTGAAATCGAACACTTAACTAAATGAGGCACCTAGGCACTCCAAAAATATTTGATTTAAAGACTGAACTAGGCAGAAAAGTATCCCAGAAAATGCTTTCAATTTGTACCAACTGTTATAAAATAAGAAATCAATTTATAATGTACTTCCATTAATAAATTGTTGCGTATTGGCTAGATGGCCACCAACTTTGCGGTTCTTGAAACATGATTTGGAGAAAGGGGTTCAAAAAAGCAACCCTGCACCCAGAGCTTCTGAGAGCTAAAAGCAGGTAAAGAATGTGGCAGATAACAAGAGAAGCTTGGTTCCCTCCTCCCCACACCCCCATTAACATTGAGAATATGGGAGGAAAATGCACTTTCTCTGTGAAGAGCACAGTGAAAACACTCAGAATACTGAGCTATATACATAAGCAAGTGGGGGTGCAGCATGGTTATCTGAAGCTAGGCACCTGGGCTCTCAGTAATTCCTACTAAGTTTTTGTTTTTGGATACATGTGATTCCATGTTATCAAAGTCCAATACCATCAGAACATATAAAACAGGTGTACAAGAATGAGCTCATTAGAGGGGCGCTTGGGTGGCTTGGTGGGTGAAGCGTCAGGTCATGAGCTCATGGTTCGTGAGTTTGAGCCCTGCATCGGGCTCTCTGCTGTCAGCAGAGCCTGCTGGGGGGCCCTCGGTACCCCTCTCTCTGCCCTTCCCCCATGTGTACTCTCTCTCTAAAAAATAAACATTAAAAAAAATTGTTTTAAATAAAAAAATATTAAAGAGAACAAGCTCATTAGAAATGTGACATTTCAAACAGTTTTAGATACAAAGTTGCACTAAGCCAACTATTCTAATGGCTGCATTCAAACATAAAACATTTTGAGATGCTGAGAAGACAAAATAGAAATAGAAGTGATGGATATGCAAATATACTGGGATGACCGATATACATCAAAGTGCTAGGGAAAAAATGAAGTGCACTGAAATATCAACCCCACTCTCCAAATGTAAAGAAAAATCACTTCCAATTGAGTTTCTCCACTTCATTCATGTTATTTACAAGGAATGCGTATGTTTTTAAGTCACCAAGTGAACCAATGAAGGGGGATGTGCTATTACCTCATTTAAATACACCTCATTAAATACCTCATTTAAATACACCTAATAAAACCGAGGCATAAGATGTTAACAATTTCACAGTTTTTCAGCTGGGCAAAGAGTAAGCCAGTGACTAGACAGAAGCCATGGAATCAGAAATCCTACAGTCATGACAAAGAGCTGTGTTCTAGACACCGTCCCTGTGCTGCCCACAGGCAAAGCACTTCCTCTCTACAAACAACACAACACAAAGATGCTACTTCATTGTAAAATGGATCTGCTGGCTAGTCAAGGGTCTTACCGCTATCCTTTAAAAGTTCCCTAAGGGCCACCTGGGTGGCTCAGTTGGTTAAGCGATTGCCTCTTTATTTCCGCTTAGGTCATGATCTCACGGTTTGTGGGTTTGAGCCCCACATCAGGCTCTGCACTGACAGCTCGGAGCCTGCTTGGGATTCTCTCCCTCTGACCCTCTCCCTCTCCTGCTTGTTCTCGCTCTCTCTCTCCCAATAAGAAATAAAACTTAAAAAAAAAAAAAGTTTCCTAAAACCCATCTTAAGGCAGCATTGCAAGTCTATCTAAGCCAGGATTTGGACGATTTTTAGGAGGCGGTGGCAGAAAACAGGAGCTGCAGACATGGCAGCCCAGTCTGCTCTTTTGCAATCACTTGTCGGACAGATGTGTTTGGAGTGGCTATAACATTCATTACAACAGCTCTCTTAGCCATTTCTATAGACCAGGCACTTCCAAGGTGCTAGATATTCACCTTGACATGGAAGTCCCTATCCTCAAGGAGCTTATAGTTCGGAGGAAGACGAGGAAGCATGGCGACGGAATGGACACACGTAGTAAAACATCTTAGTGGAAGATGGCTACAATTAGATATGTTTCCTAATTTTGGCAAAACTGCTCCCCTCCATTTGCTACTTACTGGACAAATATCCTAAAAGAGAGAGCTCTCCTCTAAGAATTAATCTGTAAGCACGCGGACTCCGCACACTCCGGAAACTCAAATACTTCCGCCACCTCTATCTTACCACGGGTATGAATTACTTTCTTCTGCTATGTTCTTCAGTTCCTTAGGGAATCACATCTCTTTCAGAACATAAACTGGCCAATATTTTAGAAATATTCTCGCTGCTTCTTCCTCCCAATCATCTCTAGGGCCGTCTTCTTCCCCATTCTCAAACCTGTTCCATTTTAGCTCCACAGTAAGCCAACCCGTATCTTAAAGCTGGAACCCCCACCCCCCACTAGACTTGAAGCTCAAGGGCAGGATTCTGTCTTAGTCATCTCTGCATCCAGCATGTAAGGGTGGAGGCTGAAGAACAGAATTGAAACTTAGGAGAATCTCAAAGGAGTCTTGCTTTGTTACCACCATAAACTTATCAAATATCTGAGCACATACAGGAGTCTAGGCACTACAAGATATCAAAACTACTATATCTTTTAACAGAATTATAATAAACTGTGCAAAGTCAAAGGAGAGGGAGTGGCCAAAAGCAAGCGACATGCTTCCACGAGACGGAGGAAAATCAGGGACACAGAGAGGCAGGCTGGGAGGAATGGCAGTGGAAAAACAAGAAGAACAAAGGGAAGGGAAGGGAGCTCGGGAGGAGAAGCACTGGTAGGAGATCAGGCTGAGTATACTGCCAGCAGCTAAGAGACCAAAGTATGTGGGAGTTACCAGCTAGACACTGGCTATTTTTTCAGAACCAATAGCCTGATGTGTAAAAATGGTTTACTTTTTCCTCTCACGACTTGGAGAGCCTTTAAAGAATTAATTATTTTGTGATTTAATTTTCAGAGTCTAGCATCAACTAAGTGATCTTTCCTATATAATGCTATTATGCACTACTATGCATTATCATGATAAAAATGAGATTACACACTCTTATGTCCTCAGGAAATGACTGTGTACAATCATGTACCGTACCACCATTCATTATCCCAAATATAATTCCAAAATCTGTGTCCCAGGTGATGGGGGGCAATGTTGGGGGAAGGGGTGAGGAACCAGGGGAGGGCATAGCTGTTGATCTAAACAACTATCCGATAACTGTTTTCCATAAAATTGCTTTCCATAAATAAGATATAGAGAAGCCAGCATCTGACAATTAAGAAAAGGATTTTAATACCAATAATTAAAAGAGATTTATAGATTATAGATATATTCTATTATTGCTAACTTTAGTTAGATGGCTATGTGGTTGTCATCTTTAAGACAGATTATTTAATTGGGCCAATCAAAGATCATTAAGTTTAAACCCCATATAACTTACTATTCTCTCCCTTATGCCGTATGGCCAAGGATTTGACTATCTAAAAACCTAGAAATGGTTCATTCATTCAACAAATATTTATTGCACACTTCTACATATCAGGCACTGTTCTGCGTGAACTAACTACATTAACGAATAACTTATATATAATCTCAGTCCTTGTGTAGCTTATATTCCAGTGGGAAGAGACAAGCAATAAATAACAAATAAGTTAATTATATAGACTATTCAAAGATGATAGGTGCTATGGGAAAGAGAATACGGGGAGAGGGGATAAGGCCCCCCGGACTTGGGAGGGGGAAGCACAATTTGTAATAGAGTGGTCAGAGTAGACCTCTCTGAAAGGCCAATAAAACTACCTGAAGGAGGTGAGGGAATTAGCCCTGTCAGACCTCTGACAGAAGAGTGTTCCAGGTACAGTGCAAGGGCCCTGAGGAAGGAACCTGCCTGGTTTAAGGACTATCAGGAAGCAGGGGTGCCTGCATGGCTCAATTGGTTAAGCATACAACTTTTTTTTTTTTTTTTTTAATTTTTTAATGTTTTATTTCTGAGAGAGAGAGAGAGAGAGACAGCGTGAGCAGGGGAGGGTCAGAGAAAGAGGGAGACACAGAATCCGAAACAGGCTCTGAGCTCACTGTCAGCACAGAGGCCGACATGGGGCTTGAACCCATGAACCGTGAGATCATGACCTGAGCCAAAGTCGGACACTTAACTGACTGAGCCACCCAGGCGCCCCAAGCATGCAACTCTTGATTTTGGCTCAGGTTGTGATCTCATGGTTGTGGACTTGAGCCACGTGTTGGGTTCCACACTGACAGCATGGCGCCTGCTTAGGATTACCTCTCTCCCCCTCTCAAAAACAAAACAAAACAAAAGCAAGAGTATCAGGAAGCAATGGAACTGCCGTAGAATAATAGAAGAGCAGCAAGAGACTACATGGGTCTGACAAACCAGTGCAAAAATTTTGGCCTTAACTCCAAGATGGAAAATCACTGGAAAGTTTGAGAAAACTTACACTTTATTATTTATTTATTTTTAAAGTAGGCCCTATGCCCAACATGTGGCTTGAAGAAACAATCTGGAGATCAAGAGTCACATGCTCTACTGACTGAGCCAGCCAGGTGCTTCTCTAACTTACATTAAATTTTTTTTATACGTTTTTATTTATTTTTGAGAGAAAGAGAGACTAAGCGTGGGGGGGGGCAGGGATGAGAGAGGGAGTCATAGAATCTGAAGCAGGTTCCAGGCTCTGAGCTGTCAGCACAGAGCCCAATGCGGGGCTCAAACTCATGAACCATGAGACCATAACCTGAGCCAAAGTCAGCCACTTAATCAGCTGAGCCACCCAGGCGCCCCCATCTAACTTACATTTGAAAAGGAACACTTTGGCTGCTAGGCGAAGAGACTGAAGAGGTTCAAGGGTGCTACAGGTTAAGAGTTGATAATAATCCAGGTGAGACATGATGGCAGTATGGACCAAGGTTGTAGCGGTTGAGGTGGTGAAAAGCAGTGGATTCCGAACATAATCTGAAGACAGTTAACGGGACCTGCCAAGCAACCGAATAAGAAAATGTGGGAGACAGGAATCAAGGATGACTTGGAAGTTTTTTGGTCGTAGGAACTAACACGGTAGAGTTGCCATGCACTGTGAATGTCTGAGAGAACTACAAATATCCAACTGGAGAAATCAAGTAGTTACTTGGACATCTGTGTCCTGGAATTCAGGGAAGAGCTTCAGGCTACAGGTTTAAATTTGGGAGCCGTCAAAGTTTAGGTGGAATTTAAAGCCAGGAACCAGAATGAACTCTTGAAAGGAGAGTGTGTAGACAAATAAAGGCCCAAGAACTGAGCCTTATGTAAGAGGTAAGGCAGAGGACACAGAACTAGAAAGGAGATTGAGAGGAAACAGTCAACAAGATAAAACTAGAAGAGCCTGGTGTTCTGGCAGGTGCACACAGTGTGTCCAGGGGAAAGTAATAAGGTCAAATGCTGCTGACAGTTAAGTGAGAATAGACTCTTGGGTTTAGCAAAGTAGAAGTCAGTGATCTTAAGAACAGTTTCTAGTGAAATGCTGGGGGGCGGGGGGTGAAGAAAGAGTGTCTGAAGAAGATCCAAGGGAAACCAGGAAAGAAAATCAAGATGGTAATTCAAAATAGCTCTTAAAGGACTTTGGCTGTCAAAGGGAAGTGGAAAGACAGCCGGAGGCAAAGGAGAAAGTAGGGTTGTGTGTGTGTGTGTGTGTGTGTGTGTGTGTGTGTGTGTTTAAATTAAGGAAAGACTACTACATGATCCAGCAGAGACAACTGTCACAGGGATGTCCCTAGTGGTAGAAAGTAGGTTCCTAGCGCACATGGGCACGTTGGTTTTGGTCAGGTATACTGAACAATTCATCCATTCTAACAGCAGGGAAGACAGAGCATATGAATAATGGGTGCTATTTATGTGGTTGAAAAGCTTGTGGAAGGTCTCATCTTTTTTTTTTTTTTAAGCAAAGAAGGCATCATATGTGGGGAAACTTGAGGAGCGAAAAGGTTTATGCGAATGTGAATGGATTAGTGAAATGTAATGTGACGGCCAGACGGCATCAAGGGCTACATGAGGTTCGTGGGCATGAATTTAGGTGTTTTTTCCTCAGTGAAATACAGCTGCAAGGGAAGGAGACAGACTGGACAATATGCTGGACTCAACCAGGGTTGAATTTTGCCATGTGAGGGAAGGCAACTGACAACAGATTAAATAGGTACACATTCCTACTTTGTCTGCTCCCTTGTATATTCATTCATACAGGCCACGTTTTCCTAATGAGGATTATTATTAAAAACATTTTTTTTAACGTTTTATGTATTTCTGAGAGAGAGAGAGGGAGAGAGAGAGAGAGAGAGAGAGCGCGAGAGACAGCGTGAGCAGGGGAGGGTCAGAGAGAGGGGGAGACACAGAATCCGAAACAGGCTCCAGGCTCTGAGCTGTCAGCACAGAGCCCTACGCGGGGCTCGAACCCACGAACTGTGAAATCATGACCTGAGCCAAAGTCGGACGCTTAACCGACTGAGCCACTCAGGCGCCCCCTAATGAGGATTATTAGCAAATCATCAGGAAGGAGATCAGAAATGCGATAAGAACCTACTGACTGCCTCCTGTGGGGCAGATTCTTTGCTAATAACGCAAAAAGAACCTCAAATGTTGTGACTTTTTAAATATAAAGTCATTCCCTATAGAGTATGAACACGCTGAAAGCAAAATTTTCACGTTGTCATTTTTGGTTGTTTGTGTCACCAACGTTCAGCCTTACTGCTTTGCACACAACACAAACTGTACATTCGATAATCACGAAGGATGAAACCCAAATTAAAGTGCCCTAGAAAATTTTAATACGGGTTTTGAAGTTTAATGATGATAGCATTTACCCATGAAAGGGAAAACAGCTAAAAACTAAATAGTTTGGGCGTGAACACAAAACGTCAACATAATCCGATTTTTAAATTTCGCTGCACAACGCCTACATCCATCTGGGTTCGAGGATCCGTCCGCCGCGTTAGGTCTCACCGGCAAACACGACGGGTATGAGAAAACCACTCGAGGGTAGTGAGTTCTCTAACACTATAGATAACCGCAAAGGCTCGGCTGATTCCGGACAGGAATGTCGAGTACTGAACTGAAGACTATATCAGAGGATCCTGAGACCTGTTGATGTTTACTGCCCTAAAAAGCTGACATACATGTCCCACTGCCTCTCACGGTCCCTGAATCCCGCCACGCCATTTTCTTCCCAAGGACACCCACGCCTAACAACTCACGCAGATGGTTATCTTCAGCACTCCGTGGTTATAGTCTCGGTACAACTCCTTGGCCTCTTGGTTGCATTCGATACACCTGTACTGGCAGGAGGCCGAGGCAGCAGGAGGAGTGGCTGCAACCCCATCCGTGTTCCCCTTGCCCGCGGCCACCCCTTCTGCGTTCCCCTTGCCCGGCCGTAGCCCATTCCGCCCACCGGTGCCCATTTCCACGCAACTGCAGCCGAGAACTTCCGATTCAGTGGCGGGGGAAGATGTCGGACGTCAGACCGGAAACCCTGTTCCGTGCGGTGCTTGATGGGATTCGTAGTCCCATCCTTGGAAAATGGGGCTCGCGGCTGACGGCGCCGGGACTACAACTCCCAGCAGGCAATGCCACGCCCCTTCCCGCCCCCTTGCCGCGGCCCACCTGCCCGCCGCGGGTTAAGGCTGGGAGGCCGCAGCGTGCGGCGAGGGCCGCCGCACATGCGCCGTGAGGAAAGATGGCACCTGCCGGCTGCTGCTGCTGCTACTGCTGCTGGGGCGGCGCTGTGGCCGCCGCGGACGCCGCCCGGCGAGTCCTGGTGCTGCTGTTGCTGGGGGTCCTGTCCGTCGGGCCGCGCCCGGGTGCCCTGGCCACCGAGCACTACTCGCCGCTGTCCCTGCTCAAGCAGGAGCTGCAGCACCGGCAGCAGCAGCAGGAGGCCCAGGCAGGCGGAGGCTGCAGCCCGCAGTCAGGGGACTGGGGAGACCAGTACTCGGTCGAGTGCGGCGGTGAGTGGGCGGCGGGCGGGCGGGCGTCCGGGTCGCCGGGGGCGGCGGGGCCATGGGAACGGGCGGGCTCCCGGGCCGATGTGCCGCGGCGCGGCGTCTGCTCCTGCGGGAGCCGGCTCGGCCAGGTGTCCTGCCGCGGCCGCTTCCCGCCGCCCGCACCCACGCCGCTGCGCGCCCTTCTCTGGTAGCTGCCGGGGCCAGGGTGCTGTCAGAAAAGAGCTGACAGCATGTTCCTGGGACCAGGGCGGTCTCTCCGGAGTCCCCGCAATTGTTGAGAGGGTAGAGGAGGAGATGGCAAGTGGCCTGGGGCAGCCCCGCTTCCAGCTCCGTGCCCCGCGGGCGCCAGGGGAGCGAAGGACGGAAACACGGAACGACAGAGGTTGACCGGGTCCCCTGGGCGGTCGCCGGGCCCGTCTTAGGCCTGGAAATCAGGTTTTTTGACCTGGGTTGGATGCCTTGTGTTAAACAGAGTCTCTCCGAATTCGATCCCCGGAAGAAAGAAGGGAACCAAAGAGCAAGCCTGTTTTATCTGTTCGATGACATCTTGCTTCCAGTTATTTAAGGCGGACCTGTGACCTGTCCGGTGTCTCCCAGAGAGTAAGGGGGCCCTGCAGGCCTTGGGCCCGTGTAAGTCAGAGCCGTGCGTATTAGGACTAGGCCAGCTCATTCATTACGATGGGCGCTATTGCGCTCAGTTTGATAAGTCATGACAGATGCCTTAGGGGTAAATACGTGTGTGTGTTGAGTTTCCATCAGGTCTTTTTTTTTTTTTTTTTAATTTTTAAATGTTTTTTTATTTATTTCTGAGAGAGAGAGAGAGAGAGACAGCATGAGCAGGGGAGGGTCAGAGAGAGGGAGATACAGAATCTGAAACAGGCCCCAGGCTCTGAGCTAGCTGTCAGTACAGAGCCGGATGCGGGACTCTAACCCACGAACCGGGAGATCATGACCTGAGCCGAAGTCGGGAAGTCGGATGCCCAGCCGACGGAGCCACCCAGGCGCCCCTCCATCGGGTCTTGTCACCCTTCAATCTCCCTTCCCCGTCCTTTTCCTCTTCCCCCTAATTCCATCAAGGCTTGCTTCTGAAAGGTCTGGGTCTACCTAACTCACCAGGAACTGGCTGGTTGCCTTTATGACTTGACAGCGGTGTGCTTGAACATTGTGTAACTGGGAAGACAATAAGCATTTTCTAGTCACGAGGAGATGTCAAGATTAGCACACTCTGATTTCCTTTTAGCACAATCTGACTCCCTTAAGGAAGTCTCACTCATAGACTTTGTTTTGTAGTGGGCCTTGGCTGGTAACCGCATAAAAACCCCGGGCCGGCATTGTATGGTGGGAAAAGAATGGCTTCTTAGGCCGGCATTGTATGGTGGGAAAAGAATGGCTTCTTACCTCGGTCGCTTACTGTGACTCTGAACATGTTAATTGCTTACCTTTGCAAAATTACCTCCTCTGTAAGTTGAAGGCATGGTTCCCTAATTACCGGGTTTCATTTTCTTCACAAGAGTGATGTGGGGAAAGTGAGAAATAGCCAACATATATAGAGTGCTTGCTGTATGCCAGGTGCTGTTGTAAGAGTAGGTTGATTAGCCTATTTTTCCTTCAGTCTGTCGGAACACCAGTCACTACCTCATTGGATGGTGGCTCCTTTTCTTCACATGACGAAACAGAGACACAGTCAAATCATCACTTTCCTGCGGGCCCACAGCTGTAAAAGGACGGGGCCAGGTGTTCAGGCTCCGGACAAAGGTTTGTCTTAGACACTAAAGTCATTATAGGTAGGAAAACACATCTGTAGTGTGTGCTAGCATATAGAATGTATTATGTAAACCTTAGTTTCCCCATCCCTCTTACAGTCATGTGATGCTCAATGGCTCCAGGAGACACAGATTCTAGGCAGTGGAATATAGGAATCGATTTATAGTATGAAACGGATTAATAGTATTGATTGAGGCAGCTTATTTCTCTCTATGCCTTCAGGCTTATGCCAGTCTTTGAGTCCTCATTTGGGCCAACTCTGACCTGTATTCCGCTTTTCCCCTACGCAATAGAACTTTTCATGAACTAGGCGTTTGGAGTTTTCCTGTCCATTCTACCATTCCCTTCTATGGGAAAACCATTATTCAGGGTTCTTTGTGTCAGAGGGTAAACGCAATAGTATGAGGCTTTAAGCATCGTTTTTCAAATGTTTCAGCTTTTTATTTATCTTCACCATGTAGTATGTAGTTTCTTAGTTCGGCTGTTCCGTGTGTGGCATGAGTGAGTCTCTGAGCTAGCCTCCCCTGAGCTGACATGAATGTCCCGTACTTGCTGACAGGCGCTGAAGTCATTTGGCTGCCATTGCTGTTCTCCCGTTAATAATTCCCAAAGGCAACTGCTTATGCTACTTGGCACTCCGGCTGCGGGACGTGACAGAGGCCATCTCTGTTACGGTAGAGACTCCCTAGATGTCTCTCATTTCTCCCTCCTCCTCTTGGACAAGTAGGTAGAAGCTGGACCCTGTGAAACTGCCCCGGTCCCTCAATGTCCTGAGAAGAACAGATGCGGGAACAAATTCAGGATTTACAACCGATCATATCATAGCCCAGGGGCTCACGTTCTGAATCCAGAACCCCCTTCTGATCAACAGAAGGGCCTAGAGAAGTGCCAGGATCCAGAACGAATCAGGCCTTGAGAGCTTTACCCTCTATTAATCATGTCGCCGTCACCTGCCGGCCTTTCCAGCCATGAGCCTGTCCATGTCAAGCCGGTCCCGATGCAGAGGACAGACACAGAAGTACCGCCACTTTTCAGGAGCCTTCTCTCAGCTTTCGGATTCAAATGGCTGCATTGATACCTGCGGGGGTCTAACTCTGCACCCCTTCCAATGAGCTGTATGTGTATTCTGGTGACACTGAACGCCCAGTGATTACTGGGCCAAAGATCATGTATGTCTCTGTACGGTAGGAGCCCACAGGTCTGAACAGCGCGCTGGCAATGCCTGTTCATGCTGTGGGGCCCACCAGCAAAGGGAATGCAGTACCCTGGGATCAGCCTCATGCTCAGTGGGCTGCGCCCCATCGAGGCCCAGCTGCAGAGGTAAGCGTGGATGACCGGGGCAGCAGAGGTCTCAGCCTGACTTTACTGTTCCCGAGCCCCCTTCAGCTTTCTCCTCTGGCACATTTTTACATTGTATTTGAAAAGCATGTATAACCACACACATCAGATCATCTATTTGCCTGTGGGAAAGATAATCCTTTTTAAAAAGTGAACACTGTAGGGGCGCCTGGGTGGCTTAGTCGGTTGAGCGTCTGACTTTCGCTTAGGTCATGATCTCGCGGTTCGTGGGTTCGAGCCCCGCGTCGGGCTCTGCACTGACCGTGCAGAGCCTGCTTCAGATTCTGTCTCTCCCTTTCTCTCTGACCCTCCCCTGCTCACGCTGTCTCTCTCTCTCTCTCCTAGAAATAAAAAAAAAAAAAATAATAATAAAAAGTGAACACTGTAATGTACATTATCTTTCAAATAAAAATCAATTTCCACAGGCACCTGGGTGGCTCAGTCGGTTAAGTGTCCAAGTTTGGCTCAGGTCATGATCTCACAGCTTGTGAGTTTGAGCCCCGAGTCAAGCTTTGCACTGACCGTGCAGAGCCTGCTTCAGATTCTGTCTCTCCCTTTCTCTCTGACCCTCCCCCACCTTGCAGTATCTCTCTCTCAAAAATAAATAAATAAACATAAAAAAATAATTTTCCCTTCCTTGTTACCTTTGCCCCGTTTGCAGTTTGGATTTGCAGGAAGAAATAAGGAACAGAAGGGTTTCCCTGCTATTCCCCCCGTGGTTTTCTGTGTATAAACACTGTACGTTATTTAATCCTCAACACTGCAGCATGTACTTTTTTTATCCCCATTTTACCTAAGGTGAAACTGAGGCAAAGAGTAATTAGGGAAGGTCCTGCAGTGGAGTGTAGAGCCAGGATTTGAACCTGGCCTCTTCACCGTTTATGCATTATTTCCTTCGTAATATCTGCTTATTAGTATACTTTATTATTAATGATCAAGTCCTACAGCGTTCATGTTTGTCGAAAGTTACATTCTTAAATAACTTCTAGAATTTTATATTTTCATATATGTAAGGATGCTTCACTACGCTGAATAGTTTGAACTGTAGAGCTAGAATGGATCTGGTCTTTCACAGGACAGCTATCTTGTGTGCCTCCCACTTGCTGCTGCTCAGTGCTTCAGACCCTCGGGAGCCAGGAGCTCCAGCTGGCTTCCCCCAAGTGGACCTTGTTCTGGTGCAGGAAGAGACCAATGTTCTGCAGGCCCCCCGAGAAATGCCTTGAAGAAGGAAGAGGGCTTTGCTGCTTTGAGAGGGGCCAGGGTGGCATCAACAGAGACCAGAGCAGAGTGAGCTTGGGAGAGGTCTTAGAGAGGCCTTAAGTTGATACTGTAGTGTTACAGATGAGGCAAGTTCAGGTCTAGATAAGCTATAACATGTAACATGGATTTAAGAATTCGTCTCTGTCCCCTCTGCTTTTCCTGCAAAAGCTACATTGCATCTTCTTCAAAGGCGCCGTTCACTATGAGAAATACATCTCTATGTGTTCTTTACGGACCAAGACGTATTTTAATAGTTCAAACGTGTGCACCTCTCCTAATCATTTCAAAAACACTTTCACTTTTCCTTCTTTGAAAATGTAATACATTATAAATTATAAGGACAGTAACTTTGTGATTTTTTTCTTTTCTTTTTTCCTGCCTTCTTGAGACTTTTGTCTGCTCCTAAGTTAGGTGGTCCTGGTACTTGATGTCTTTCTGGAACTGTGGAAATGGCCACCTTCCTCCAGCTGGCAGCATTAGTACTATCTATGCGTAATGTCTCAGTCAAGTTCAATGGTTAATTTACAACCTGAAGTAATTTTCCTTAGTTTATTGAAATTAGTCCAAGATTTGAGTTTATTTCCCATAGTTCTTTGTGAAGAAAAGGGAATTTGCATCTGATTTGGGAGTTGTTAACCGTC